GATTGGCAGCCAAAAAAAGAAATTGTGATTTTTCAACATTTCCGCTTTTACGGATTATTTAATAAAATATTTATTTTGATTGTGCTAATCTCATGCGAGCTGCACCTGCAAAACTGTTTTGCATGTTTTTTGCCCAACGTGGTTAGATAAGTGCGCCACACACGCCAAATTTCAAGGTCAGCCCAATAAATGATTTGTGAATGATTTGGCCCGTGCAAGGTGCAAGGTGTAAATACGAAAATCTTATCAAATTTAAGGCAATCGATATGCAACTATGGTTTATTGTGGTTATTGGTATGTTTTGTTCAAAGAACATTCCTTATGAAATCATCAGCATTTGCTTCGAGTCATTTTCAACAGGTTTTCACAATCGCCTTTGGTATATCAAATATATATTTGCTTTCTTATGAATGATTTACTGAGTTAGAGGCAAACGCTTTTGGTAGTTGTGCTACTCAGCTACTCAGTTCATTCCCACGCTTAGCAGTCTGTTTTATTATTGCTTTTTTTTAATATTTCGTGTGGGTTTGGCAACGCTTGATTTGCCCCGTAGTCACAGCTGCTTCATTTATCTATTTATGTTGACTATTTGACAGTTCACTTGCACCTGGCAATCAATCAACAAAACCATTATCAAGCTCAGCTTGTTCCGATCTTTTGCGCTTCCCTTCCCTTCCCTTCCCATTCCCTTCCATTCTGGCTGTCTGTTTAACTCTCTCGCTGGGTTCTGACCCCACTCGAAAAACTCTTTAAATGTGCCGTGTTGTTGGTAGATTTGCTGATGCTGCTGCCTGATGCTGCTGCCTGATGCTGCCCGCTGCTGTTGTTTATGTTATTAACACAACAAACAACCACTTAACTTCGTAAATCTGTCCAGCCATTTAGCTTTGGGGCTCTAAAAATAAACATCAAAGCAAACAGCAACGTTTTTTTCATAATGTTTTTGTTGCTGTCGAGCGATGGTTAAAAATAAATATTGAAAAACTATTTTTAATGCCCGGCAAAATCGGTCAATTGCACAAATTGAGGTACGGCTTCATCATTTTAATTGGCATCGCGTTTCCAGCTCCACACACGTGTCCAATATTTCTAGCTACATTTGATTCAGTTGGCCGATTTGATTGACTCGGACTCGGACTCGGACTCGAACTCGGTCTTGGTCTTGGTGCTCAGCTAATTTACATTTATCTGGCAGCAATTGGTCTCTGATTTATTTTTGGCGTACTCGTTTCTGAAGAGATGTTTTTTTTTTGCTGTGCCACATTTAATAACAATTATTGAATAATATATGTAAATATATATATACATATTACAGATCGCTTATACAAGTCAATTGGCAGCGGTAATTATTTGTTTCTGCCTTGCAGTTCATAAATCAGGCGAACTGGCAAAAGTATCTGACAGATACAAATGGCATATGGCTAGGCGAGGAGAGCGCGGGCAGGCGACGACAAGCGACGCAATTTTTCGCTTAATGATTGCAACGTTTACGTTCATTTACACTTCATCAAATGCGTAGTTTACAGTCTACAACAACACCAAAAACACACAACAACAACAACTCAACAACTGAACAACAACAACTCAACAACAACAAATCATCAACACAACAACAACACAAACAAGAACAACAAACAGCAATAGAGGGCAACAACTTGAAAAGCGAAATTTAGCGAAATGAAAAACTACGCAATGAAAATGTCATCGCATGCAACTGTGTTTAATCAACTAGCGATAATAGCGCCATTTTTGCCCAGACCCCACTTTTCGATCACAAAAACAAAAACCCATTACGCAGTTCTGGTAACCTATTTAGAGCCCTGTAAATATTGCCAAGGCTATTGCGTAATTCTAACGACGCATATTTGGTAATGAAACTAAAATCGGGTAATCGCCAAATGGAATACTTTTATTTATTGTATCGCATGTTATAGCAAACGAATCGGTTTAACAAGACTTCAAATAAATACTCTAAATAAATAAAACAGTGTATATCGAGAGCTAATTTATGTGGATTCAGTCTATCTGTTAAAATGTTTACCCAAATATCAATTATCATGATCAAAATATGTTTCTAGAAATGCCCAAAGTCTTTGCGATAACTTTGTGAAAAGTGATCAGATTTGCAAAAAAAACAGAGCATTTTGATCATGGTACGACCCGTAGAATATTAGCTTCAGGGATTCTAATTTACACCGTTAAAAACTGCTTAGGATGGTACAGAACCAAAGAAATTAGGTTTTCAATATGAACATGGCTTGAACAAGCTACATTTAAAAGTGGAAATCAAAGTTGAAAGTGAGCAAATAATTCTTACTATTGGTCAGAGTCATGCTTTTGAGTTAATTATTAACTCAGTTTGTTATCAAACATTAAGATACACATACTTATAAAAGTTGCTGCATCTGTCAATGATAATCAAAGGAAGAAGTTGCAATATTTTTATTGGCTTCCATCGATTTGTTTGTTTGCTCCCCGGTCAGCGAAAAGCAACATCATCTCATCTCGTCTCGTCTCGTCTCGTCTCGTTTTGTGTGTTCAAGTCATTATCTCGGCAATTAGTTGAACGTTAATTAGCCGCATGCCAATATTTGCATTGTTTCTTCTGTTTAATTTAATTACAACAATAATTTCGGAGTCAACCCCCAATTGCGACTTACTTGCGACTTGGCCAATTGTGAACAACATAATAAAAGCAGCAAAATGCTTTCCCATCCCCAACACGCAATTCGCTTCCATAATGCGCATTTGTCGAGTTGAGGTCGAAACGGGGCGCCACAGAAGAAAGATTAGACAAAAGCTAATGGCAAATGCATATGGCATGATATATGTATGACTAAAACAAGTATAAAGCTACTGACTGCAAATCGAAATGGGTCATTAGATAAGTTGCAGTCACAGGTAAACCAATGTATGTATATGTCTATAAACATATACAAATGCGTCTGTTCACGTGAGCAGCACTTGTGAATGATTTATGACTGACAAGTAGCGAATATCGTATGTCTTAAGACAGTGGCGCCTAATGTCCCTCCACACGCGCGGTCTTTGCCAATTTGTAATATCTGTTGGCTTTACGACTTTGCATATTTAGTGTGGTGGCCGCTATAACTATGCAAATTTCCCATACACTCAGAAAATCAAAATTAAAAAGCCGATTTTAATATACATTGCTCATTTTTGCTGCTAATAAATAAAACAGAAATCAAATTTAATTTATGTAGTTAATATAGACTTTTTAAAAAGCGTCTAAATATTAGAAAAATGTTAGGTAACCTTATAGCAACAATATTTAAATTTGCAAAACAAATGTTTCACTTTGAGTTTCTCACAAGTGAATTCTCTATTCAAAGGGAATTTTTCAATATTTTCAAATTAATTTTCTCAATTCTATAACATAGTTGTTGGCAAGTGTAAACGGCGAACAGGAAGCGCACATAAATCAGGTGCACTTTGTTGCAATTACGGCCAAGCAACGGCAATCCTACAAGCCTACAGAACATGCGAGTCGCCCCTCGCTATAGGAAATCTTGTCAGTCAATCAGTGTAATGGGCCGCCACTGGTATTACACTGTGGATCGACGCGTAACTTGACCATATCTCGCACACTCGGCCAATACACACACAGCTGGCACCTGCAATTGCAATTTAAAATGTTGATAAACATAAGCCTGGTCACAACGCCCAACATTAGATACACACAACAGCACTGTGTATAACTGTGTATATAATACGCATACAGATGCATATATATACTTCGTTTCCCAGTAACATCGCACGAAATGCTTATCACTGAATGCGAGTCAGCGATTATATTGGCAATTACGAGTATATCGCCACATCGGCGCCAAGCACGTGACCAGTTTCAAGTTCAACGCCGCATAAATTCACGACTCGTCGTTTATAAAAGAGTGATTGAGAGACGCCACAGCTCCCCCCTTCCCCCTCACCAATCTCCCGACCACACCGACCATAACCCTCAGCACTGAGCACTCAGCACCAGCGATATTCTTATCTAATACCAGGCGACTGGTGCGCGGTGCGAGCTTCTCTGCATGGTGGCCAACACGCGTTACGGCGATGCCCTCCGACCGACAACAGACAAGCGACAACAGACAACCGACAACAGCCACCTCTTGACAGACAGGCGACATTCGGATTATCGAACAAAAACCCAAACTAAACATAACTAAAAACTCAGCGACTGCGTGTCAAGGCCATTGGTTGGTTTGGGTTGGCAAAAGAGCTGTTGCCCGATTACGAAAGCGTTATTATGTGCAAGTGTAGCATAAATATTTGTAAAGAAATGCATAAGTCTAGCAGTGGCGAATGTTATGCAAATCCTTTGGTAAATTGGGTTATCGATAATAGGATATTATTAAACACAGCAATATCGATGGATTTCTTTCATAACAACTTATCTTTATGTTTATATTTTGGGTTTCTCAACTTTAACTTTTACAAAGAAAACTATTGTTCATTCATATCTTTATGACTTTGATATAGGCAAGTTTTTCCTTTTAAAAACTACAAAAACAATTGATTCAGCCAATAAAAACACATCTTTATCAATATTTCCTTGGGTTTATTGACTTTAACTTTTACAAGGAAAATACTTCTTCACATATTTATCTTTACAACCTTTGATAAACGTAATTTTTTAATTGTCATTTTCATTCATTCCACTTTTTAGTTTTATCAATTATTATTATACTAACTTTGCAACTTTGATTTCAATAAATTAAAAACTTGGCTATCTTTCGAAAGTTCTTTAATAAAAATAGCAACAGTTTGTTGACAACACCTGGTAGAGTGCAGAGAAAAACCCATTGAAGATTGCCCATAATCTCGATCAATGTGATTAGCAATTGTCAAAAATCGAAAGCTTCCCAATTTTAGAAATGCGAACTTATCGCTACACATTGAAGAATATAAAACCCCCGCGCATTGTAAACAATCAATCGAATCATTTTGCAAAAAAAAAAATTAAAAACCTCAAATGCCATATTTCACAATGATTGTGGTTTTTTTATTGATCACTTGATTTATGTGGAAATTTTCGATGATATTTTTAACATTTGCTGATGAATTTTCTATTTTCGTATCGATTTCAACAGCGGAGAAGCGATTGGCATCGGCGGCGTCGTCGTCGATGGCGGCAACGATTGTTGTTTGTGTCGGTGTTGAAAAGTGTTTCATAAAACGGCATTAAATGGTATTAAGGCTGCCACACGTCACTGTTGTTGTCATTTTCCATTGAAGTGCTACCGAATTTTGTGGAACTACGTGGCGTTCGAACCCATTGAAATGCAATATTTGCCTGGGACTTTAACAAATGACATTTTAAACGGAAATGCCGACGTCGAACACCGATGCCGTGAAAATGTTTTCTATTTAACGACCTGGTACACTGGCGGCACCAGCTGCACCACCCAGGCTAACACCAGCATTAGCGCTACCATTTGGTTCACCACCACCAGCACCACCAGCAGCTCCAGCGGCAATTCCAATACCTGCCTGGGCGGCACCAGCGACCTCATCGATACCCTCTTCCTCCTGCTGCGCCTGTGTCGTACACTGTAAAAGGCCACATTGGAAATTTAGCATGTCCAGAAACTAACTCGAATAACTCACCAATAGCAGCACCATTGTTGCCCAGGCCAGAACAGAGAATGTGATTTTCATAGTTCAATTCGAAATCAACAATGTTGTTGCTCGCACAATTCGGTAGCGTTTTATATCAAATAATTCGTCGCGGCTGCATCTGAAAATCTGTTAAAATATTCTAGATCAAAGTCTCGACAACTAATTAAAATCCAAAAACATTGAAACCCGACCAGATATCATCTTTGCGATTTTTTAATTTGTAAATAAAGTTATTATTTGTTGTAATCATTTTTGTAATGATTTCTAAATATATATTTTAGTTGGCAGTCGTTTTTTAATTGGCGAAGCTTGCATGCTTGGCGCGTCTATTAATAAATGAATAGCAGGTGTTATCACAGTCAATATGTCAATCTGACAGTAGTTAACATTGTTGTGCGAAAACAGTAGAGCTTAAATCAAATGGAAACATGCTTCAGCTAAAAGTAATGAAATATATATATTTCACAGCCTTCCCATGGTATATGGCAGTGAAAATGATTTAGAAACAGATAGCTTAAATTGACAGAGTATTTAAGGTTAGTTGTTTACTTTTTTGTCCATAACATGTTGATTGGTCTGATTGTTTATATATTTTCATGATGCTTTGCTAACTTTCCGTTCCAACAGTAGATTTTAGATGCTTTTCAAATGCGTTTCAGATTTGTTGAGCAAAATCCAAGGGCATTAAAATCATAGCAAGGCTAAGATTCTTTTGTCTAATCGATGATCAGCTAGTCAGTCATCAAATTTAATTAAAATAATTGAGTTAGTGCTGCGAGTGCAAATGCAACTGCAACAGTAGCTGCATCATTTTGTAAATTACAACGGAAACAACAGCAATAAGGGTAAACAAAACAATTACATTAAACAATCATAGACACATGCGAGTATTTTAGCGCATACATAAAAGTGAATTAACTATATAGTGGCAAGATTCAATGATATTTCTAGTTAATTTGTTTATTTGCATTGCGCAGCAACTGGCTGCTGCAATTTTCTGTTACTGTTGCTGCTGCTGTTGCTGCTGCTGCTGCTGTTGTTGCAATCATTAAAATTCAAACAAATAAATAAATAAACCGCATGCCAATTTGGCGAAAATGCAGCTGCCAATGTTTCACATTGAATAAGCCACAACTCAATTTTTTTGTGCTCTCTCACTTTATCTATATATATAAATATATAGATATAGATATATTTATATGCATTAAATTGTATTTGATTTTATTTGATTTCACATTATTTGGCCGCAGTTTTATTTATTTACATCGCAACGCAGTCGTCTGTTATTAGGTATTGTTATTATTTTCTGGTGTTTGGGCTGTTATTGTTGTTTATGCTTTACGATTATTTTATTTTACTGCCTGTGGATGGCCACAATAATGGCAGTAATCAGCGATTATCACGTAGCCTCCACCCAGCAAGTGGCAGTGAAACTCATTGTGACAGCAGCCCAAAACAGGGCAAGCAACCAAAAAAATTTTCCGTAAATCTCATTAAAAATTAAATCAAAATTAAATGTTCATCAAATGCAATAAAAATCATTGCGCGTGTAATTTTTAAATTTGCTTTTAACAACAACATCGCCCTCCAAATCCGACCCACTTGACGCCATCAATGTGAAACTCGAGCTGGCTGTTAGACAATGAGGAAGTCCATTTGTATATGGGATGCGATGCGATTATGGCCCATAACTACTACATTCCCAGTCGGAGCTGGATAATGAACTGCACATGTATAATCTTAATAGTTTTGTTGTCGATTGCTTGAATATCACATTTGATATGCACTTTTATTAACATTCATCATACACAAGTAAGCGAAACATTATGTTATGAATTATGGACAGAACTATATTCTTTCTGAAAGTATACCGATTTAAAATCAATGAAAAAAAGTCTGATGGTGTACATCGATCCCAAAAGAGTAGATATATTCTTGAACAGCATTACTAAGTAGATCTAATCAAGTCTGTCTCTTTGTTCGTCCGACTGAATGAGTTGAAATAGAAGTATTCTTTTACCATACGCAAATCAAGTTTATTTTATCTCATACACTTTTATTTTGGCACATATTTTTATTGTGTATATTTTGAGAGAGAGAAAAAGTATAGCTCAACAGTTAAAACCGGATTGGTCAATCGAGTTTTAATTGAAATTTCCGCACCATTTAGTGGGACAAACAAATGTATGTTTTACTTATGACAAATATTGTGATTGTCGATTAGTAATGCTGTCGCCACTGCGGATATATTTGAAATGCTGCAGTTGAATTTTAATGCAATTCAATTTGGTCAGTTTATCCGCATGAGCAACCTCAATCCAAACACACACACACACACAAGCAAACTCAAACAGAGAGCAGCAGTTGAACGCCTACGGCACAATCCGACAATCCTTTTGTACGTATGCTTAAACTGATGAAGCGAGAGAGAGAGAGAGAGAGAGAGAGAGAAAGAGAGAGACAGGCAGATGCTTGTTTAAGCGCGTCCTTCACAGCGCCCACAGGGATAAGCGGGTCAACGAACAGGCGACGCCTGCCGGCCGTTTGCCGTGCTGATGAGAATAGGATGATGATGATCATCATTACGATGATGGGTTGGTGGTGGGTTAAAGGAGATTTTCAAGCACTCACAGGATAATTGAATATGACGATGATAATTTCATTTTACGCTGAATAAACACAAACTGCACATTTCGATACGACATTCACCAACCCCCCCGCCCCGTTGTCTGTTCCCCTCGGCATGCCAGAGCGGTCCTCCAGTTCTTTCGCTGTGGCAATTAAAGCGCCCACGAAAGCCGACGGAAACAGAAGTAAACTGATATAGCCGCCCAGTTCTGCATACACTCAACGCAAACTAGAGAGTTGCAATTTAAAAAAGAAATAATAATAATGAAACCGAATTTGATTTTTAAATTTAAGGATTTTATATTATGCATTTATTCAAAAAGCAATGTCAGAAATATTTTATATATTATATATATAATACATATCATATATTCAGCTGCCGACTCCGCACTGTGATTTTCTGAGTGTTCTTGGTACACTTGTATTTAGGTTGAGGTTGAGACCATCTTAATTATCCAACAGGAGGCGCGTGGACGTTGCCGGCTAACGACCTTCAAGTCCGCCCAGTACTCTTCGCTCCCTGCATTGTTTTCAGATTGATTTTTTTTTTGGTTGTTGTTTTTTTTCTTTTGCATATTTTAAGGGCATAAATCATACGCATCGATTGCGACTTATCGACGGACGACTCTGTGCGTGGAAACCCCACGCAAAATCGTTCCAAGTAAGCACCTCTTCCCTACACTTGACGTAGTCGTCGTAGTCATTTTATTAGTCACAATTTGCGTTTTTATGCGAATTCGTCGTAATTATTTACAACAAAGATTGTTGATGGCGGCGTCGCTGATCGGACGAGCGATTGAACGGGCAGCAATGGAAGGGGGCCGAGGGATTAGAGGGGACTTACAATTTAAACAGGCGGCGCTTGAATGCCAAGCATGAATATATTGAACAGCAACAATAACAACAACAACAACGACGACGACGACTGACGACTGACGGTTCCAGTGTCAGTACCAGGGCCAGTACCCACTGGCAGTGCCTGGTGGTATCTGTATCTGTTTCTCTATCGGTATCTGGTGGGTTTGTTGTCGCGAATTGTTGTGACTGCGACGGCGACTGTTGTCGTCTGAGCGCCTTATCGGCGGCGCCTCCAGAAAGCGTATACATGTCACACGTACGCGTCAAAATTTCTCAGAAAATACACAAAAATAAATCCCCAATCCGCAACAAAAATAACTAAAAAAAAAACCGCAAGATTAATACATTTGCTTGCAATGAAATATGCAATTCGCTGAATTTGAAAACTCTTATGAGTTAGTGGGAAAAATAATCACATGGATTCTGAGTAGACCAAAAATTTAAAAAACAAAAAATATTCGCAGTAAATTAAAATTATGTACGCTGATATTAAGCAAATGCCGAATTCCAAACTTAACTATGTAATGCTCTATAAATCACAACCAGTTATCCAAAAACCAGCTACGAACCAGCTATTCTTAGCCCTATTCTGTTCATAACGGAACCGTATGCCGAAATAAATGTGGAACCAAATCATAACCTTTGCCAATGCTTTTACAACACCTACGGAAACCGAAGGTGAGAGCGAAATACGCTTCTTAAGTAACAATAAGAATAATTTTATCATATATGTTAATTTAATTAAAAACTTCTGGTTTTTTTCTCAATATTTTTACATGCTATCAATTCTAGCTTGTTAGATTAACAACAATTGACACTTGCATATCGAATTTCCAAGGGGTACATGGAAATGTTGTGGTTAGAAAAAAGGCGACAACTGTTTAACACACACTTATCTTATAAATATACATAGACATATATATATATATATATATATATGTGTATATAAGATATGAATGTACTGCATTACAGGCATAGGTTAGATCTGTGCCCTGACCAGGGCCAAGAGCAACGTCGCATTGTTTGTTAATTTCTCAAGTTTTTTTTTTATATTTTTGTTTTTTTTGTGCTGTTTTTTTTTTGTCAAGTCAACGATACTGACGCCACAAAAAATTCCGCATAATTATTTGCACTTTGTCCGCTCGTTTATTTATTTTGTTTACATTTTCGATGGCGCTGCGAATTCCACGTAACAAATCCAGCAAACGACAGCAACCACAACAACCTAATTTCGCTCGAAGACCTAACAACAACTTGACGTTACATAAACACCTCGAAATGGCCCCGATTAAAGCCAAAAAAAAAAAAACGAAAAACGTAAGTCAAATGGAATACTTGCTCATAAATCCATGGCTGCCATAATTCTAGGTTCAATTGCATAAGCCACTTCGGTCAGTCGGTCACAATGTCTGACAACGTTGAACAGAGACAGGGGAGCACCTCCTCACACACACAAACACACACACATACATATATATATATATATATAGCTCCACCTTCCCTTCACTTCTCTTTACAATAAGCAACTCCGCACCGCCCACCGTTCGCTTGGACGTCTGGCCGTCTGGCTGTCTAGACGCGTTTAAT